GGAGCCAAAATTTGATTCGCCGAGTTTGAGTTGGTCCAATAATTTTTTGGACTTAAATCACTAATCCCAAATATTTAAACAGATTCATTAGTAATCAATAAATCAATCATAATTAACGCTTTCTATTTCACTTGTCTTTCCACTCCTTTTCACGCCATTCCTATTTTCAACCACCGTTAGTTTCAAAATTTGAATCCTGAACTTAATAGCGTGGAGAAATCTAAAAGTCCTTCCCTAGCCTCTTTCTGTGCCATTGGGGCTTTGAAGCCCGGATTACATTACGTTTTCTTGTTTTTCTTTTAATTGGAGCCAACTACAATGAGTTAATCTCCTGCTCAAAGCAAAAATCCAATCATGGTGGGGATATTTTTCAGCGTAGTTAATAACATGGTTGAATTGGTTCTCCCGTGAATAGTTCTGATTTAACATTTCCCAAATATTGTGGACTCCTTTAATTGGCAGTTGGCGCATTATTTATTGCACCTTATCCAAGTTTACATGACTTAAAGCTTATTTAAAACACTATTCGGCTCTCTGTACTGTTACCTGGGAGAATATTTCAATCTGCTAATCCAAATACTTAAATGGACCGATTTTATAGATTCTGTTTGGATAATATTTTAAAATATGTTCTCTATTACCCAATATTAGACTGCTTCGTTTAAGACCCCAGATTGAACGAAATAATAATGTAATCAAGAAATCTTTCATGATTTCATTCCATTTCTACATACTACCATTTTCAAGTGCACTAGACTAGTAGGCCTAAAAAAAATTTAATTTCATAAAAATACCAAGTAAAGATCGGTTTTAGAAATTCCTTTCTTTTTCTTTTTTCCCTTGTTTGTATACATGGGCTTTGGTAGATCAGTTTTACAGATTTACTTGTATATTATTGTGACAAAAACCAGCAGTATATTACATTTGCACGACTTAATTCTGACCTAGAGATTTTTTAAGCAACCCATAAAACAAAGGGATAATTTCAGAAACCTCCCCTGACGTTTCTAATAATTTCACTGAGCTTCCGTAGGATTTTAAAAATTACACTTACCTCCTCTGATTTGATAGTTTTATTAACAAAATCTTAAAATAATATTGACTTGGTCAATTTTTTAAATGAAAACCCAAAATGCCCTTGTGTAATGAGTTTTGATTTATTTTTCTATACAATTATAAGATTATCTAGTATAATTATAAGGAAAATGTGCCAAACTTTTACTGTAGATTTTTTTGGATTATTTTTAGAGGTATTTTTGAAACATATTTTTGAGTATTTTTAGAATATTATAATTTTTATATTTTTATATAAATATACATTTATGCATTTATAATACATTTATATTTACAAATGTATAAATGTATATTATTATAAATGTATAAATTATAAATGAATATTATATCAATATATAAATTATAAATTATAAATTATAATTTTTATATTTTTATATAAATATGCATTTATGCATTTATAATACATTTATACATATTTATAAATAAATATATTTATATATTCATATAAAAATATATATATGTATTATATTATATATAATACATAATATAAATATATTTATAAATGTATAAGTGTATATTATTATAAATGTATAAATTATAAATATATTATAAATTATAAGTGTATATTATTATAAATGTATAAATTATAAATGAATATTATAAATGTATAAATTAATATATTATAAATATATATTAATATTATGTAGAAATGTATTTATATAATTAATATAAATATATATATGTATTGATATTATGTATAAATATATAATTAATATTATGTATATTAATATAAATGTATAAATGTATTATATTATATATAATAAATAATATAAATGTATATTTAAATGTATAAGTGTATATTATTAAAAATGTATAAATTATAAATGAATATTATATAAATGTATAAATTAATATATTATAAATATATATTAATATTATGTAGAAATGCATTAATATAATTAATATAAATGTATACATGTATTAATATTATGTATAAATGTAAAATTAATATTATGTATATTAATATAAATTTATAAATGTATTATATTATTTATTATACATAATATAAATGTATATTATAAATATACATAAATATTTATATATTATGTATAAATGTACATTTATATAAATGTATAATGTATAATATATTATATATTATATTATATATAATTTATATAACATATAATATTTATGTAAATATATTATAAATATATAAAAATATATTATAAATGAAATAAAATATTTATAATATGTATGTATAAATATATAATATTAGAAATGTATAATATATATAATATACATTGTTATTAATATAATTTATGTATAATATACATAATTGAAATATACATATTAATATATATTATAAAACAAAATTGAATAAATATATTTATAAATTTATATATAAATAAATGTATTTATATAAATATATAATGTTTATTTCAATTGATATAATATATATAATATTATACATAATTGAAATAAATATATTTATATTAATATAATATATATATATATATAATATACATAATTGAAATATACATATTAAAATATAATAAAATATAATTGAAATATACGTATTAAAATACATAATTAAAACATACAAATTGAAATATACTTATTAAAATATACAAATTAAATATACATAATTGAAATATATTTGGAGTTGTTTTTGATATATTGTTTGGATATGGTGTTTTTGAAATTATTTTTGAAATACGCATTTACTGTAGCATTTGGAATGTGAAAAACAATTTTTAAAAAACAGGTGCAAAAACACTCAATCCAAACGGACCCAGCAGTATATTACATTTGCGCGACTTAATTCTGACCTAGAGATTTTTTAAGTAACCCATAAAACAAAGGGATAATTTCAGAAACCTCCCCTGACGTTTCTAATAATTTCACTTAGCTTCCGTAGGATTTTAAAAATTACACTTACCTCCTCTGATTTGATAGTTTTATTAACAAAATCTTAAAATAATATTGACTTGGTCAATTTTTTAAATGAATACCCAAAATGCCCTTGTGTAATGAGTTTTGATTTATTTTTCTATACAATTATAAGATTATCTAGTATAATTATAAGGAAAATGTGCCAAAATTTTTATGTCCATAATTACTATTTGATAAACAAATATAATAATAATTTTATCACTATGATAAGATACTTTTGATGGTATTTTATTGTGAATTTAGATTTATAAGATAGAAAAGAAAATGTTAAAATAATTCATTTAGAGTTTATGAATTTTTTGAATAGTGAGATTATCACAATTTGGTAGTCATTTTGCGCCATTTCCTTTTGATTTATTGTTAATTTTAGTACCAAAAAAATGAAGACAAAGATCAACAAAAACATTGGATTACATATAAAATTAACTCGTCAAAAAATCACTAGTTTAACATTTGATTACAATAGAAACTAGAAGCAATAGTGGTAGTTTTACAGTTTTACTGGAGAAAAATTAATTAAAAAAAAGGAATAAAAAGGAAAAAATAATTTTAAAACTCATTATAAGTATAAGCATATCAAATAAGGGAATTTCATTAAAATATTTAAGGGTAAAATTATCATTTTAAATGACAAGGGAGGTATGGGTAATTTTTCAAACCTCAAAGAAGGAGTTAAGTGAAATTGTCAGGAACCTCAGGGGAGGTTTCTGAAATGATCCCTAAAACAAATGTACCAAAGAATTTGTTATCATCTTGTACAAGATTTACGGCAGCAGGACATCATTGTGATGACAGAGTGACAAGACACATGATTATGACTTGATATAAATATGTGGTGCCCAAACTGAGTTGTTTTCCAAGTAAAAAAGCTTTAAAACTTGGCTAACTTTCATTCACCTGTCGAATTTCAATTAGCCGTGGTGACTATGGCAGAACATTCGTGGCACCCAGGTTGAACCTGTTTGATAAGGAAGTTAATGAGTGGTACTAGAAGACGTAGCATTTGGAAACGGTTACGCTTTAATCTTTCACCCATCAGCTAATCTGTATTCATGTTTCTGGTAAATTCTGATCCGGATGACTGAAATAAAATTGGACATCTCTTGAAACACATCCAAACACGTCTTAAGAAAAGATGGTGCACAAAAAGGGTAATGTAATGTATGTGCCAAATTTTGCGTGAGTGTTGTGTGCCTTTTGGCATCAACTGTTTAACAACACCAAAATATCTCAAATACGAGGAAAAACAATATTATAGATTATGTTCATATCAGTTTTTTAAATATTATAAAAATTTTTAAAAAATATTCTAAAAAATAGTTTATTTTTTTAATATTTAAAAAATATTCTAAAATATATTTTAAAAATTCCTGTTACTTTTAAATATTTCAAAATATATTCTAAAAATTCTGCTACTCCCTCCCTTTTTTTATAACTGACGTTTAAGAAATTTGCTCTAGTGTACTTTTATCTGTCGTTTTATTATTCCCATACAGTATTAATTATTTTTTCACAATTTTACCCTTTTATCTCTCTTTTCCAATACAGGATTCTTAATTACTACTCCTAGTAATTATTGCTTCTCTCTTTGTAACAATCCTAGTAATTATTGCTTTTGGCCTAATAAAACAGTACCATTTAGTATTCTAGTGAGAGAAAACATGAGTGAATTGGACAATTAATAAGGGTACAAAAGGAAAGTAGTGTATAAATTTAAGCAATGAAAAATATTTCTTAATTGATGTGTAAAATCTTAAATGTCAGTTATAAAAAAAGGGGAGGGAGTACATTGCTGTTGTTGTTGTTGTACACTTGGCACACCACATGGTCTGATTGGTCCTAGCAATGGTCCTAGCAATGGTCAAAACATGGAGACGGCCACCACATGTACGTAGAAGGGAAGGTGTCCACGTACACGTATAAATTATGGTGGAATTCAGTGAATGGACCAAGTAATGAAAAGGGTAATTGTACAAATCTGCAGAAGTTTATTAGCACTGACCATAAAATTGTAGTAATTGGAATAATCTTGGTCCACCCGTAAGGCCAACATATTATTCTTGATTACAATGCAAATGTACATACAAGACAGAGCGTACCTAATTTCTTCAATCTATTATGGCCGGATTATATAATACAGTAATAGGTTAGCCGGCAAGATGGTTTTCCTCAGCTTCTTGGTTGTCATCTACTATCAATTTCGTGGCAGCAAGAAAAGCGGCCTCCTTAGATTCCATATCCCTTTGCCGTAGCTTTTTGATTGCTTCTGTGCACACAGTATCATATCTCACAACCATATTCTCTTTGAACCTCTTTTTACACTAATGATTCTAATATAATGAAGTCACATCTGTCTCTTCTATCTTTCTAAATCCTTCTTTAGCCTGCCACTAAACGATTTCAATCTTTTCAATTAAATATTTTTCCTGTGGCATCCATTTCTACACTAACTGGTGTACTGGGTGCATCCCACAAATTGAAACGTTCCTTCTTGTTATTCTTCTTCTTCATCCAACAACACGAATACAGAAGATCCTCATTTCCTGTGTCTAAGTGTGTGTGTGTGTGTTTAATTAGCAGTTATTTTCCTCTTGTAGTGACACAGTGGAATGGCACTCAAAAGCAGTTCCTACCAAACTTCTGCAACGCCAATTTCATTGTTTGCTCACTTGGTCTTCATAGCAATCTTCATTCTTGTGCTGGTTTGGCTTCTCAAATTCAGGGAAGGACTTTCCTTCAAATCAGATAACAAGCTGAAGCTTTTCAATGTAATATACTTTTCTTGCTGCATGAAAATTGATGTTTTTCTATTCATCTGTTTTGCTGATCAAGATTTATGTGTTCTTCAATTTATGCTTATAATTTTCCTTTTTCCATGCAGCTGCACCCCTTGTTTATGGTCATTGGCTTTGTCTTAATCTCAGGACAAGGTAAGAAATTAAGGATGATGATATAAGTTGGGCAAGCCCCTTTTCAGTTTGTTCTGCTTCAATTCTACTTCTAATCTTTTCTTCATCATTGTAATTGAGTCCACTCTCACCTTACAAACACAAAGAAGGGCTTCTGATTATGCTGATACTTCCGGTTATTATTGCCTAAATTCTAGATTTTCTAATCAAAGAGCTTGTATTAACTGATTTCTTCTAGCTTTGGAAGAAGGTCAAAGAGTTGGACTTAATTTAGTCGTTCAAAGTTTGATAACTCTTGTTTCCTTGACAAAATAGTTGTCTTTTTCTCTGTTCAAATTTTTAGAAAGCTAAAATAAAATATGAGAATTGAGTAGGAAACAGTGAGTAAAATTTCCCATCTTCTTGCTTATTGACCAAATTGTTTCTTTCTCCATGTTAGCCGGGTGTATAAAAGTCACTTAAGGTTTTCACAGGGACAAAGTTATAATTTATAAGGGAGATTTTCATAAACTTTCAACTTTTATGGGTCAAAAGTACAAATTCTTAAAACTAGGGGGACGGCCTTGATTGTTCGAATAACATCTTTCATGGACATTTTCGCACCGAAAGCCCTGAATATCCTTCACTGGCCTTTAAGTCCGGGCAAATAAGACCAAACGAGCACTAATTTCCCTACAATCACTTAAAGCCCATTAAACGATGGAGAAGAAATCTATAATACTGCTTAGTCTAAATTTGTAGTTTTCATAGACAAATAACTTGCACTAAAAACAGTCCAGAAAGTTTTGATTGAGTGGTCAAAGTCGCCCACTCCTATTCTATCCTAATCTATTTATGAGAGGTATAACTGGACTTACGGGGATCGATAGGGATAGAACCACCGCCGAATCACCCGTCTAAATTTTTTAAAAAATTATATAATATGACAATCGGTGGAAGGCAAGGTTCGAATCCTTGTTTAATAACAAGACACCATTGTTAACTGATTGTGATTGTACTACCACCGGACTAGCCTGGTGCGATTAGACGGGTACACTACACATCAATCTGTTATTTATTATTTTTTTTTTTTCGGTTGTCAAAGTACACAGTACAATTACTCAATACTCAAAGTTTTGACCAATGGTGTCGTGTGACATTATACGCTATTGACATCACATGGTGCATTAATTTGTTTGTCTTTTTTCTTGTCCAATGCAATTCTAATCTTCTTTGTATTGGCACTTTGATTTCCCACTCTTTCTGCTTGTTCATGTTTTTCGTCACTGGGGTAAAAGGAAAAAAAGTAGGAGTTGACACATTCTATGACATCTTTTATACTAAAACAAAAAAGTTTAGAAGTAGTTTCTGATATAATACCTTTTTTTTTTCAAGTTTCTAATATAACAGTTCACAATTAAAACGATAAAAAATATTGAAAGGCTGTGCATTATATTTTATTATGTGTTTTATTTTACATCATAACTCATGCTTCAGTTTTTTTTTTTCTTTTCCAATTTTTCTCCTAATTTTCTTTCTTTGTGTTTGACGTTCCAAAGTTTGTCTAATGGTCTAGCTAGAGCATCAAAAAGGCCTGTTCGAGTTTCTGTTCCAAATTAATTTTCAAAATGATTTCAACCTTGATATTGAATTCCCATCTTTGACTAGTAGTAAAGTAGTATAATATACAAACTTGAGTTCTTGAATTTATTAATAACAACTTGTCATTGGTATTTTTGTCGCAGCTATCATGACATACAAGACTTTCCCAGCAACGAGAAAGAGACAGAAATTGGTTCACATGACTTTGAATTTCATTGCTCTTCTTGCTGCCATCGTGGGATTGTATGCAGTTTTTCAGTACCATCATGACCTTGGAATCCCGCATGTGTATACCTTGCACTCTTGGTTTGGCATTTCTACTGCCAGCTTATTCTTTTTGCAGGTAATTAAAACCTCTAATCAATTTTTAGTAGTATAATAACTGCTAACTCATGTATGCTTAATAATACTCCAGCATATTTCTACTGTAGTGAATTCGTTCGAGATACATGTAAGTAGTAGTGTTCATCTTACTAAATGTGGATTATTGAGTAATAATCAGTTGTGTGTATTGATTCCACCATTATGGGCTACTGGTAATAAAATCATATTAAAAAAAAAAACAAAAGAATGTTTGACTTTGTCAACATTTTTCTTGTATTATGTGCCTATAGATTGTGATTAGCCCAATGAAAAATATATAATTGAAGGACAAATATTCCAAGTCGGCATTGGCTGTATTGTGTTGATTGTTGAATAGGTAGGTGTTTCTTACCAGTTCAATTTTCTAATGGGAGATTCTGAACTTTTTTTTTTTTTTTGTCAGTGGCTGTTTGGCTTCTTTGCCTTTTGGGTCCGAGCCAGAGACTCCACAACTAGAGCAAATTTAGCACCATGGCATGTCCTGCTTGGCATGGTTATATTTTCCATGGCAATAGTGAGTGCTGTGACCGGCTTGATTGAGAAATTCACCTTCATGAGCTTAAGAAGAGGGCAAGAGGCATTGATTGTCAACTTCACTGGCCTCCTCATCTTCCTTTTTGGAGTATCTGTTGGCTGCACTGTTCTTCTTCCAAGAAGTTATTAAAGATGGTAGTCATTGGAAAATGTTCTTGTCTTTGGTTATATATACATATATAGTTTGGCCCAATATTGCAGTTAGACTAAAACATGTTTAATCTTTTATTTGTTCACTTGGATCGCTCTAGCTTAGAGTAATGATTCCCATGTTTGTTACAAGTGTTCTTGAGTATTTGAATAGTTTATTTGGTCAAATAGTTCTTTTGAAACCTGCATTTTATGCATGAGATCTGTGACATTGGCATGTGAACTTTTTGGGACTATTGGAGCTGGAAAATGGCCATCATTTGTGTACTCTACTAAAAAGGGACCTAGTTCGTAAGATTTGGGCTTTTTTTTTTTTTGGTCGCAACGATAGAATTCCTATAACCTAATCAGCCTAATCTAAAGGAGGAGAGAGAGGGGGACTCGATGTGAATAGAAATTCATCCAAAATGGCCAATTAAGGCCGTCACATATTGTGATAACTTTTTGGTGGGAGGTAAGGGCCGAACCCTTAACCTCCCGTGCGTGACCACCGGACCAAAGGCCCAGTGGCTTGTAAGATTTGGGCTTGGTGAAGTATTTTCTTGGAGTGATGAAAACCAAGTGCAGGTTTGAAAATAAGCTACTATCTACTAGATCAAGTTGATGACTTGAACGACAAAATCTTGCCCCCTCCAATCTGCAATTTGGCTATATCAAATCAGTAAACTGTCGAGTTAATTCTGAAAACTGCTTAAAGTTTCTATAAAAATGCTGGCATACAATGATCAGTTTATGTACTGGTCAAGGAATGGCCCAAACCAAAATCTTGCGCCTGTTTATCTGTGAACATTTTTCAATACTTGAGACCAATGAGTATTACGACTTGATTTACAATATTTTCTTTTCCTGAATCTGGTTGGAGTTCTAAGAAATCACAATCTTCTCTTCGAATTCGGCCTGGTATGCTGTAGTCCGTGGGTCATGTCCAGCACCAAAACAATGCCTAGAAATATATAATCTTCTGCAAGTAGTTGAATGAGAGTTTTGATCTTGCATCACATACCCTGTTTGCATGCATTATCACCTTTAATCACATAAAACCTTCATAATTAAGGAAAATTTGAACTGTTGATTGAAAAGCAAAGAACCATACGGAGATTTCACCAAAGATGCAGATGTAGCCACGTCTGCAGGCTATCACCAACAGGAGACCGTGCCCACAAATCCCAAAATCAATAACATTGCCTTTTTGACAAAAAAAAAGGGACAAATTCCACTTTACCCTACTGTGGTTAAGTTTTTTCTACATGACCCTTCTATAATTTTAAAACTATACATAACTCCTTTATGGTTTAGATTAAAGTGTCAAAGTAACGGAAATAGTCATTTGTAACGGATCTTTTAAAAATATTGAAATTACCCTTATAAATACATGACACACTAATCACGTATGATTTTTATATTTTACGATATAATCTTCTTATGGTTTAATACTGTATCATATAACCCCCTTATAATTTTCAAAATATACATATAACCCCCCTTAGTTAATAAATAATTTTCAACTTTACATAAGGGTATTTTTTGCATTTTAAGTGACTTCATTACGAATGATCATTTCTGTCACTTTGACACTTTAATTCAAATCATAAAGGGGTTATGTATAGTTTTTAAAATCATAGGACAGTTATGTAAAAAAATATTAAACCACAGGAGGGTAAAGTAGAATTTGTCCAAAAATAAAATACATTGCCTGAAAGACATCTTTCCACACAAAAAGTTTCTAACCTACAGAGGATTTCAAATCCATATTAGAGTTAACGAGTTCTACAAAATCTTCTTCATTTAATTAAGCTGTTACAGTACAAAACTGCACTAGACTCCTAAAAAATTATCCCTACCAAGAATTGCAAATTTTAAAAATAATCAGCATTACTTTGCTCTAAGCATACTATTCTAACTAAAATGGTGCTGCAAATTTACCTATAGCACACGAATTGAGCAAAGAAATTCAAGATATGAAAGCCATTCTACAATCAAATTTTGGCCACACCAAATATACCACTTGTGTCTGAACTATCAGTGTGACCTTTTTCATATCATATTTGCCGATAACCTAAACACGTATGAAAGATCAGCATGAGATAAACCTAAGATAAAGCAAAGTTCATTACATATTCCAACACAATGCAGGTGATTCAATGAAGAGAAGAGAACCAGCTTAAAAGTTCCTGTCAATTTCCAATGCAAAACGGACTAGGTGAATGTTGATTACTTACAGCAAAAACAGTTCATTGGCAGCTCTAACGCATAACAGTTTTATGTGAAAAAGTTTGCGAACTCTAAAAAACGAAAGTGCACTAGTAAAACAAAGTAAAGTGAAAGAATGAAAGAAATGTGATTGGATCATAAGCCGGGATAGATGCTCAAATCGTGATCACCTATGACATGAAGACCAAAAATTGAGCACTACAAGAGAAAAAAAAAAACTTCCATTTACCAACCTTTTACTACTGAAGCATAAAAAGATCCCTCCTCCTTCATCTGGATTTGGGACCGGCTGTCTAATGGATTGCATCAACACAAGTGGAGTTAAAATATTTTATGTCTCTAGTGCCAAGTATGACAAGCCATCTCTTTACTATCATAGACAAGTCATAAAATTTTGTATGAAATTGACCAAGTTTTATCGTCTAATCAATAATTGCAAATTTTGTCACAATTTTGACTCATTTTTTGCTGTTCAAATATTTCTTGTAAATTAAATGTCAAAATATATTATTACTTTTTCATATGTTGATCTAGATATCAAAAGAAAAGTAACGACACAATAATAGTATTATTTTATAACATTATCTGAATTTAAATATATAGAGATCAATGGAGAGGATCCTCACAATAGTATAATTTTGTAACATTATCTAAATTTAAATATAGATAAATATAGAGACCAATGGAGAGGATCCTAACTCGTGTGTAAACTAGATTTAGACAGATTCCCAAAAATATAGCTAACTTTGATGCCTGAGAGTGGACGCGGCCATTATTTAACCTGGTATTTGGGCATATTAATAGGACTCATTTAGACATACTAATAATAATAGGGAACTCAAGTGATTAGTAGCTATTAAAATGTTCAAAAACAGATAGAGTTAAGAAAATAGCTTTTTTAGGCATGCTAAATTAGGCAAAAAAGAATCTGAGTGCTTTAAACTAAGGAGAGAAATTAAGTATTGATCTTATAGAGTATGTATGAGACATTAAAGAGAAATTAAGTATTGATTTTATTGAGTATGTATGATTACCCTTTTTTCTTTTTCTTTCTTGTTAAAATGAGCAACACTTTGTTTGAAGAAAGCATAATATTCATATCAACTGAACTAGTTTAATCTAGTTCAATGAATTAACTAAAAAATTTTGAAGCTCAATAAGCACATACATAGTTGTATATAAAATATGTGTATGTGTTAGATAAAGCAAAATGATAAACAGAAGTGTTGAGTTTACAACATTTGGAAAAACTAAGTTAGGTTCAGAATGGTTGGAGATTTGAAAATCGATTGGTGAAACCAAATTGGCAAAAGTATAGTGTAAAAATAAAAATTGAATCTTTTCATTTTGGGAAAACAAAAAAAATAGTCCAATGTCTTTTTTTCCACTTTTTTTTTTATTTTTTTTCCAAAATTCTTTACTACTAATAAAAAAAATGTAAATGAAAATAAGAAACCAACATATTTTGTTGATTTTTTCTTTTTTATTTTTTGTCTTTTTTTTTGGCTCTTTCCACACAAATTACTTACTAGTAAATAAAAGATAAAAAATTATACCAAAATCTTTTTGTGCTATTTGTGCATTTTTTTGTCTTTTACTACTAAAGCATAAAACATCCCTCCTCCTTCGTTCGAACTTGGGACTTGCTGTGTGATGGATTGCATCAACACAAGTGGAGTGAAAAAACTGTATGTCTCTAGTGTCAAACATGACAAGCCATCCTTTTTGGATCATAGACAAGTCACCTTGGACAATGAATACCTCTATGCCACAAAATACGAGGAAAAATTGATGAATACTCCCACTCAAAACATGTAGAGTAGACTGTATCAAATAACAATAATTGACTCCCAGCCTTCAACATGTGTGAGGGATGAAACATTATCTAGCCTACTAAGGGACTTTGTTCAAACATAACAATTTGACATGAATTCGGCACTAGCTAACCCATATGATAATTATATTGAAAAAAAATGGTGTGCTCACAGGAGTAGGGTTGAAAATGCTCAAAAGGCTCATCTCAACTTTGCATCCGCAACCAAGTTTTTTAGTTTAAAATCCCAATATATTTGAAAGGCAAAGGTCCAAAAGAGATTTAGCATTGCTCAGCAGAATCAACGCATTAACAATGGATATGATATTGGCCGACTGCACTTTAGTTGTGGTAGGGTTCCCCATTGTCTCTCACTTTGTGAGTGCAAGGACTTGGCTGTAATCTTGTACACAGATTTTGTGCTTTGATTGCTAAGCTGTCCCTCTTGAGGCAATAGTAATACCAATTTTTTTTTCTAGAAGCACATTTTTTGTGTGCTATTTTGTCCTCTTTTTGCACTTTCATTTTTAGGTCTCTTGAGAATCCAACTTGCTCACTCAGGAGATATTTCCATGGAACCACAAATGCAATCTCACTTATTATTTGATATAGCAAGACTCTCGATTTGGCTTACTCTATGTCAGGATTCAATCTTCAAAAGAATGAAAATTATAGTAATGACTAATTCTGAGTTAAGAGAGAATGATTATACGAAAGAAAGAGCTAGAGAGAGAAGAAAGAGAGCAGAAATGAGGAAAACAAGAAAATAGAATTTGATTCTTGCCAATCCCCATTCATACAACTTTGTAACCATTATACAGAAAGAGGCTTAATTGCTTCTTACTACTGCAACTAACTACTCTAACAAAATTCAACTAACTACTCTATATAAGTTGTATTAGTTAAAAAATAAAAAGAATTAAAAATTAAAAACAATTAATGCACATATTTCACCACTCAAAAAGTTCATATTTAATAAATTAAACAACACAAATAAGCAGCAAAACTATACTAATGATCACAAGATTTAACAAAACAGACTGGTCATCTCTTTTGATATGATATTCACTATGATTCTTTGTGATTTTGAACAGAAAATTTTTTCAAAATTTGCCTTTCTTTTCCCTCCATTCTCCTTTACTAATATCTAACGATTAATTAATTAGAGGACTAATTAACTATTAATAACTAATTAATGAAAATAAATGTTAAAAATTTCTTTTAATGATGAATGATGACTTGT